GTGTTCGTGAGCGCTCTGTTTAAGTGGAAAAGCAAGCTTCGGTAAACGGGGCATAAGAAATCTCTACGATGGCGTCGGCAACAGTGGTTTCATTCTTTGGCCTGGATGGACTGTGCCTGGAACTTGCTTCTTTGCTCGTTCGATCAGGATACAAAGTCCGAGGAGTGGAGGTTTGTTTGTTTGTTTTTTTTTTGTTTTTTTCATTCTTAGGGGTTCTGTTTCATTCGTTTTCCCGGATATCTCATTTGCTCACAAGTTTCGATCTTTCTTCCAACTTTTTGCTCTTTTACTAACGGAGTTTTTTTTTTCCGAAGCAGAGGACTGAAACGTCGGCGAGGGGTGCGTTTTTCGAGTTGGGCGGAGAATATTGTACGAACCCATTGGAGGCGACGAGAGGTTTAGTACTCTTTTGATTCTATTTGGCTGGGGAAGTATGGGTTCTTATACGACGGGCTCATTCTAAATGTTTCAAGCTATTTTATCTAGTTTAAGGTGCAAAAGTTTTTCGCTTTTGGAAACTTTAAGTGACATACTTTCCACAAAAGCATGAATGAATTGATATGGGATTAAAAAGCTTAAGTTTGATTGATAAACTTATGTAGTTTGGACATAAGAAGAGCTGGCATTCAGATGCATTCTGAAGCCATAGTTCAAAGATTTGATTTGGGTTATACTGTTTCTTACTTGGTTCTAAGTTATACAAATGTAACATTAGTATTCATCTGTAGTTTGAGGATGAAGTTGAATTTGTGTTAATTTAATTCATCTGGTAACTTAGCTTTTTGGTTCTGGAAAGTAATTTTACGGAGTTTAACTTTGATTTTCTTTCTAAATTTAATGGGCTTTATGTTTCATTGCTGATAGAAGTTGATTTCTATTCTCTTTACTCTTGGAAAAGAATATACATATATAGGATGATTCTTTTTAATATTTATTTATCCTTGGACTTTTTCATTTGCAACAGATGCATTAACAGTGTTTGTGTCGATTTCCGAAGAAGAAATTGATGATGTGTTTTTCAGAAAGGATGGTGCAGTGAAAGGTCTGTGAGTTTGATATTTTATTTCTTTTCTTCTATTTGATTACTAATCTGTTTTCCATGTCTCCAGGGTTGCGTAAAGATGCAGTAATTGTTATCCTGTCAACACTTTCGATCAGTTATCTTCACAAGTTAGAGAAGAGATTTGCAGGCATGCCAACATTTTTTCAAGTTTATAAAATTTTATATGAAATTTTTTGTTTTTTTTTTTGCTTGAGTGTATATTGAACCATAGCAATGTAGGTTATTATCCTGTTGCAATCAACAGATTTGTCAATGTGGTTTTGACTCTATGAATTTCCCTATTTTCTAGAATTGCTTGGAGTGTTACCAATAGAATTACAGTTGAATAAATCTATAGCAAGTCTTATTTTTGCTGTTTTATGAATTGGAATTTGTTCTTTATTGATAGATTCTTGAATGAAGAGAAGCAACTGCTATCTTTTAATCTTTGTCAATTTATTGTCTTTGAATTGCAACCTCATTAAACTCTTTGCTTTATTGTATACATCATCATTTCCTCATTCTTGTTGCAAATTTCCAGTTTATCAGCTTGATTGTGGCCGGCCTTTTTTCTTGCATTGCATAGTTTTTGTGTTCAATGCAGGAATTTTAAGTACCATGTTGATGGATGGTGATTTTGTTTTTGCTCTTTATTGACATGACCAACATTCTTTGATGGATTGCTTCAACACCCTCAACCAATTTCTTAAGTTGTATGCATTCCTGTGCTTCCTTTGATTTTGTATTCTATTTCTACTAATGGTAGAAAGCAAGGAGATAACCATAGTTGGAAGCAATTGCAGATCTTGAATTTTTTGTATTTTGGATAGCAAAAAAATTTTTTTTTTTGGGCTTCTATGAATTTTGCAATAACTGTTTGCCAAACGTACAGAGTAAACAAACTTTAATAGATTAGTTCAAATGATTCAAATTCTTCTCAGCCAAGGGATAAGTAACATGAAACGAGTAACATCCCGCTGTTGGAAGCTATTGCTACCTTATAATTGTGAAATTGATAATTGAAAGACATGAGACTGAAATATTCATTGATCTCAAAGAAGTTTCCTTTCATTCATTAAAGTGTAATTTTGTCATCAGATGGAGGTTAGCTAAGCTTGTCTTGTTTTGCTACCAAACTTTTCAATAATTTTTAGCATGGTAGTTTTTGAGATAGGAAATTCCATAATAACTTTGTTAATCTTCAAGCTGTGAAAATGGTGGACTTTGCATAAGTCCTTCCATTTCAAACTTAATGGAGAATTTAACTTGAGTCTTATAATCCTCCCAGTGAGTTGATGATAATGATTTTATCATCTACATATAAGAGAATAATTCAGTGCACATCACCTTGTTTCTTTTCAAAGAGACTAGGATCTGAATTTGTAGGGAATTTCAACAAAATTGAGCAAACTCTACATTTTAAAAGAGGACACTTCAAGTTTATATGCACGCTCCAAAATTTTATTTTTTATTTTTTGAAATTGGACGATGTTTGTTTGTAAATAGGATCCTTCCATTTTGCAACCCCATTAGCTCCATGAGATTAAAAATTGATGGACTTTTAAAGAAAGATGATCACAATATCACCAAATTCCCAACTCTATAATAATTTTGTATCATCCTCTTCCTCAGAAACCTCCAAAGTGTTTGAGTATCTTGCTTTACAACAACTTCTTTTTCCTCATATTCCTTTTGAAGTCTAGATTCATTCTACAAAGATTTGCTCCCCCTAACAATGAGGATGATAAAACCATAGATATCAATCAAAAGGCACAAAAAAAAAAAAAATTGGAATATTGTACTTGGCAATCAATTTCCATGTTTTACACCATGCATCTTAATGAATAAAATTATTTAGTGGATAATTAGAAGAAATTTCATTGAAAAGATCATCCTTATTGAGCACTGAATTGATTTCCTTCTAGGTATATACACTTGTGACCTTTCTTATTTTTATCATTGTCAATTAAGATGCACCTCCCATAGTTTTAAAGTATGACACATTAACTTAATTCCTCTGTAATTCGTACAATTTTGTGCATAATCTTTATTCTTAAAAATAGGAATCAACACACTCATCTGACATCTTTTTAGCCTTCAAAATAATATTAAAAAGTTTAGTAAGCCAAGGAATTCCTTCATCTCCTAAGTATTTCCACCCCTATATTTGAATATCATCATGTCCATCAGCTTTTCCACATTTCATTTTCTTTAAAGCCTTTTTAACTTTGAATTTACTTATACGCCGATAAAAATAAAAATTTTTATTTTCATTTAGGGTGCTAAGGTCATTAAAGTCAATCATATTCTCATAATCTTCATTAAAAAGTTTAGCAAAACATCTAATCCACCTTTGTTGAATATCCTCTTCTAATAAAAACACTTTTTGATCTTCATCCTTAATACACTTCACTTGAACTAAATCCTTACTACTCCTATCTCTTTGTTTAGCTAACTTATACATATATCTATCGCTCTCCTTAGTATATTAACTATTATGTAAATCCTTAAAAGTTAAAATCTTTGTATTGCAAATTGCTTTCTTAGGCTCATTACGGGCAATTTATATCTTTCCCAATTATCAAAATTTTTACCGCTAAACCAATTTTTATAACAAATCTTTTTATTTTTTAATATTTTCTTGCACATTTTAATCCCACCACCAATTATTCTTACTATTAGTAGCTTTTCTCTTTAATACTCCAAGCACATTTTTGCAACATTCTTAATATCATTAGCTACTTTTTCCCACATAACATTAGCTTTTTCATGCACAGACAAAATCTTAAGATCTAGAATCGTACTCTCAATAAAATTAAATTAATTAAATACATTAATAAAATGACAATGATCAAAATGAAATGAAAATTTTTATTATTATAGTTTTCATCTAATTTATTTGAAAATGTGGGCTTTACAATGATTCTCAATAAATTTACAAAACTACCACTGGAAGGTTAGAAGTATAATTATTGAAAGAAAAGGGATTGAATTGCAAATTTGCAATTTCAATTCAAAGAAGATAGGGGTCAGTTTAAGTGGACTGAGAGTGTTTTACCTTTATTAATATTTGGGGTTTTTATCATTGCTTTTTTAAGATAAAATTTTACGAGTCAAGGGAGTAGATAAGACACTTCAAATAATCTAGGACTAAAACAACCACCCCCCTATAAATAGTCAAATTATTATATATAAGCTCTGGGTATGTGATGGGGACATCAGTTGGAAAGTCTACCGCCGTCGTGGCCGTAGATCTACGGCCACGATCTGCCCGATGTATTTCTAATTTTTGTTTGGTCATTTTATGAGATGTATTTTTATTTCTGCATTTTTCCCTTTTTACCCTTGCCTTGAGGGTTTGAGTCTTGTAGCCCCTCGAGGGTATTTTAGTCTTTTATTTTATGCCATTGTATCAGGCTATTTATAGCCTTCATCTTGTACTTTTTTGTTGGTTAATGAATGATAATACAAATTTTCTTGCATTGTTCTTCTTGAAGCTTTCTTTTGTAAGAGCTTGGAAGAGAGGTTGAGAGCTAGGTGGAGCCTAGGAGAGGCCACCTGTTGTACCCAACAGTCACCACCGGTGGCTCTTGGTTTTCCCTTCTTCCTTCTTCCCTTATTCTTCGTTTCCACCTCCGGCCATTCATCCACCACCACAAATCATCCCCCCCTAACCTCACCTCCCAAAATCCATCTCCTCAAAGAAAAACCGCCCCCTCCCATTTATCCTGCCGGCCACCATCCTGACCGTCGGCCTCCCCGCTGTCCACCACCCCTCCCTTCCACCCATCACCGGCCCCTCTCCATACCACATCCACGAATTTCAGATTTTGAAGTTCAAATTGAAAGTTTCCATTTTTGTCCGATGCCAAATTTGGAAAGTTTTTATGCGATTTCAAATTTGAATTTGAGCGGATTTGAAATCTTCCTCATTTAATACACGTAGCGGATTTGGAAACCCATAACTCCTCCCAAAACCCCAATCCCCTCTCTGCTTGCCACCGGCCCCATCAATGGGCCCCTCTCCTTTAATGCTTCATGAAGGGGATTAATTGCAAGGTGTTCAAAATTTCGAATCCATTTATTTTCCCTCCAAACTTACTCAAATCTGAAAATAATTTCAGATTTATTAGTTAAAACAATTTCTTTCCCACTCAAACCTAACCCCTTCCAACCCTAGCCTTTTCCCCTCTTACAAACCGCCGGCCTCCCTCCTCCACCGTCCACCTCTTCTCTCCCTCTTCCTCTACGATGTTCTCTCTATCACTTGGCTTATGACGAGTGGCCAATCCGGAACTTGAGTTTGGCCTTGCATATCTAGACGCTTCTTTGAGAAGAATTCACCTAGCCTTGGACGGAGCAATTATTGGAAGGTACGTGGGATTTCTACGTCGTCTCTCCGTGAAGGTGATTTTTCTTCCTTGATTCTTTTACCTTCGAATTCCAAATTCTTCGTGAGAATTTGTTCAAAGCAAGAGATTGTGTCTACTTATTGCCATCCACTAGTATTCGTAGGAATTGTTACTTCTTTGCTTTTGGATCTCGTTGTTAAACAAGGATTATGTTGGAAACTATCCCGCATGCATTGCTTTAATTTTCCTACGTGTTTTGATTCCGCTTAGCATTTTGTGTAGTTTGGCCTAAACGGAAGTGACCGTTCATTAGTTTTACTTTGTTGTTTTACTCACTAATAACGGAATCTGAAATTGATCTCAAAATATTTTGTGCAAGTTTCCAAATTATGCATGTAGTCCTGCATCAGTATGCTAACTAACTCATAAAAATAATGCAGATTCATAAGAAGCACTAAACATTTTAAACTACCTAAATTCGGTGAACTTGAGGTAACTCTCAGGATTTGTAAGTTCATATAACTTTGCTGTATAGTTTAAATATAATTTTTCTCATTTTTAGGTGTTGGAATGAGATGCACTTCTTCAAGGCTGCAACGCTCTCTTGATGGCATATAGGGCTATTATAAAATTTGAAAAAATTGGCATATGCTGCATTGTAGCAAGGCCAAATAAAACCTTAGTTGCATTCTTTTTTCTTTTTAGAACATATAGAGTGCTAATTCTATAACGTTGATTTTCATTGTTTCTAATATGAAACAATTCAATGTTGGGATAAAGCCTTGATATGTTTGAATATGATATCATTGTGGTTAATTGTGATATTAATGTACATTTGTTTTGTGTTTCTATGAGGGTGTAATTTTACTGGATGGTCAGTAACCTAGTCAAGATTGGCTCAATAAACAGCTCATGAATCAAGGTCGACTAGCCAAGTTTGACTGTTTGAGTGAATGTTGAGTCGTACGCTGTGGGACATTTGGTTGGTCTTTTTTTTTGGGGATAATTTAGCTATAAAAACAAGGTACTCTTTCATTTACTTGAACAATAATTCTCCTTTTATTATGCAGATGAATCAGGGAATATGTACCTTGTTGATGCATTTGTATTTCAAGCAGTGTCTGAGACCTTCAAAGACAAGATAATTGTGAGATATTATATATTAATATATTTATCGTATTACTGTTTCCAAAATGTTATTCTGATGAAGAGTTCATACAATTTTTTCTCTTTATTGGATATGTTAAACTTTCAGGTTGTTGCATCTGGAGGCCAGGAAGCTCTGCATATGGCACATCCTGTTTTTTCTGGTACAATTCATAATGATTTATAAACCATCTTTATTGAAAAGATTCTTGGTTAGAAACTTGGCTTTGTCTGGTATACTTTACTGTTCTATGCTATGCTGTACCAAATAAAGCCACTTTTGCTCTTACAATGCCGGCTGAGCTGCTTTGCAATTGAATCACCCATGGTTAAGAGCCACCTTGGCGGTGCCTGGATAGTGTAGTGATTTTCCTTTGAATTTATTTCCAGAAAAATCAATATTGTGACTATCCAGTTGTTTTTTTTTTGGATAACAATGCAGAAGTAAAGCATTACCAAACGAAGCATTATTGTTATAACACATCAAATATTCTCCATTTTACCTGTTATAATCAAATTTCAGATCTAACTCTTGAATTATTTGAACAGCTATAAGCCCGAAAGTTTTTGCTTTTGAGGTTGAACTTGGTATTGCGAGGTACTTTTTTTTTTCTGTCAAAATTAGAATCCAGGCTCTTTGAATGCTGTATACATTTTTAGCATTACCCTTGAGATCATTATATAGTTGAAGTTTTACTGTTATTTTTGTACTGATTTCTTGCCTTTGTTACTAAATTTTTGAGTTGCAACTTTTTTATATTGTGTTTTGTTCTATTTTTTGCAGTAAAATTAGAGCAGTAAACTTTCTGCTTGAAGGCATTCATCTTGTTGCTTCTGTAGAAGCAACATTTCTTGGTGTTAGAGCAGGCATTCATCCAACAATCCTTTATGATATTATTTCAAATGCTGCTGGTAGTTCATGGTAGTTCAATGCTTACTTATTCTGATGCATATGATTTATATATTACTCATTAATCTCTGATAATAAATACCATACTACTGCGTGTACTAATCATTCTATTTTGTTTACTTATTTGATATATAGTATTTGTGGCATTTCCTTGTAAATATTGGCTGGCGCAACTATGTTGATGCAATATAATGGGTTTCTTGTCCAAGCCTTGTTCCATGTATTTAAAAGAATAAGTGCAAATAATCATTTTTATGCTTCTTTCTGATCTGTTGTTTGTTGATTTGTTTTAGATATAGGAATAATCCAGTTGATTACTGTGATAAATGCCCAAGAATAAAGTTACTGGCTCGAGAATGGCATTTGAAAGATAAGAATGGCCAATTTGGATTATTGACTGATAAAATAATTCTTTTGGTACTGGCGTTAATCTCACAATATTAATAATAAAATTAACAGTGGGAAAAATCATGATAATTTCCTTACATACTTCTGTTGAAGAATTTTTATACATTCATCTGACTATGTTTATGCTCAATAATTATGTGATTATCATTTGAAACATCAATACTAAAGTGGTTAACAAATCACAGCTCTTTAAAAAATTTTCTCGCCTCCAATCATTGGGGGCAAGGGCAAACTCAAAAATATGTTTCTTACATTCTATCACTTTTCTTAGTTATGAGAAAGTTAGATGTTTTGTTGATATTTGTAGATTTTTGATGAGATACTATTTTTTTAGAGGTTAACTCCCTTTATGTTTAGTTGGAGTAGACACCATTGTATTAGACATAAGCCATAAGGGGGGCTTGATAACATCATAGATGCAATTGTTGCTTGTAGGATTGTGGCTTTGGAGAACTGTAGATTGCATCAACGAAATAAATCATGAAGGAAGTCTTGTAGCACTGCGAGATTTAGGGCAGAGATCAACAATAATTGTGATGGTGAGCCTGGCCTAGAGATGGAGAGTTTCTAGCAAGGGTAGAGATTGTTGATTGCTTGGAGATATATGATGGTGATGACAAGCACATATAGTCTAGTATGTAATATTTGATGACTTTGAAGATTGAGACATGTGTGTCGATGAAAGCTGAGAGTTGAGATGCAGCAAGCAACTGTGCTTAAGACTGAGATGCAAATAAATGATGGAAATTGAAAAAAAGATAGTTTAGGGCTCTAAGATCCTACGAGAAATATGAGAGAATTTTAATGATCTTATATAAGCTTGACTTGGAAAAAATAAAGGAAATATATAGCAAAAAAATTAGGTCCCTTTGATCAATTGACTTCAGGATCCATAAACTCATGTTATCAAAATGATTTTCTGCTTGTGATGGGGAGTTACAATACCTGTACTTAACTATTTTCATAAGATCAAGCAAGCAACACGTACATGCCTTCCAACATTAATTTATGCAAGTATATATCTAATAAGCATGAAACCTGTTTGATATACCTACAATCAATATGACCAACTAATCACTTGCACTTGCAACTAACTAATCCATAAACTAAAAATGAAGATGCAAAACATGATTAGTTGGTGCTATAAGCATAAGGCTCTTTCTCAAATACATAGAGACTTACCAAGTTAAGGGATCAGTTGATCAGTGGCCTGCCAGCAACCCAGGCACATACATGCCATGCAGGTAAATGGGCTCATATTAAACCACTTTTCCATATACAATCCTCCTAGTAGTTCTTCCATCTGCCATGATGCCACATGAATTGTCCATCGAATTTTATTTATTTTAATAGCTTTTACATGGATGACCCTCTTATTATAGAATTGATGAAATTTGATCACAAATAATCTTTAAGCTTTCATATAATAGATGAACAATGAATGGTTTTATCTTTCATAAGGATTTAAGCAAATTTTAAAATAAACAAAAAATCCCAAAATAGTCCCCATATTATTTGTGTTGGCCAATTTAGTCCCATAGTATCACTTTGCTTCAATTTGTTCCCTCGACTATACAAAATTGATCCAAAATGGACTAGATGCCACTATGCTCAAAGATTGATATCTCATGTTCCCAATGTGATTAATTTTAATCTTTTTTTTTTTGGTTATGTTTTCTGTTTAACTCATGGACCAAAATATTTTCAGCCAACTTTCTCAATATGAATTCCAATAATGTGCATGGAAATTGATTTTGTAGGATTTTTGTGGATGCAATCCCCAAATTACTGACTGGTGATCATATCCTTACAGATTACTTGAGAACTTGCATGAAAAATACGGTACAACCATGAGCTTAACTTCTCCAGCTTGTGCTAGTTTAGTGATAACTGCTTTTGGAAATACCTCCTAAACTGGAATGATATACCTCATTTTTATTTGGTTGATTATATATTTATTTTATTTTTGATTTTCTTAACTGGTACACTGTATGATATACTTCATTTTTATTGCTGATTATATATATATTTTTTTATATTGAATTTCATAATTTGCACTTTTTTGGATATAAACAATATTCTAATGGTGCTGAGTTTCTTTTCAGTCTCTTAAATTATTTTGATCCCCAGAAGATGCTGAATAGCCATATTTACATATCTAACTGCCCATTCTTTTTTATTTCCTCATATTATACTACTTCCTTTATCATTATCATTACTCCTATCAAAATTATATGAATTTGGCTTTCTGAATCCTCATTTTTCATTCATGTATGCTAAGTTCTGTATGAGGCATTAAACATATTTTGAGCAAATTTTTTTCTTTACTTTTATCGTCACTTTGTCGATATTTTTCTTTCATAATCCTTGGAATAATAGTTTTATTTACCTTTCTTTTTAGCTCATCTTCTACTTTTTAGTTCATGCATGACTAGGAGTGTTTAGTGCACATAAATCTTTTGTCTATACCAGGATCAATAGAACTATCATGAACAATAGGACCACGATAACATAATGTTTGTAATTTTGGATGAGGCTTGAAGCAATTAGCATATCCATGACTAAGATTTTATAAGAGTGACAATATGAGGGCAGGAACACTAGTCATCTATTTTTTGTAGAGCTTTGGCTGTAGCAGCATCTACTTGTATTTGTTTACCAAGGATTGGTCTGAATGAATATGGTGTTGACTAGTTGATGAAGTGCACATGAAAATGAGGGAAAATAACTCGAATTGGGGTATGAGAGGTTCCTTGTAGTTATTTAGGTATAATAATCTCCAAACATGATGTTGATCTCAATATTAGTGTCGGGGTTAGGTCGACTGCGCACAATAAATTTTAAAAGCTAAAGAGAGTGGCGTCATGCGAAACTCACCCAACATGCGTCGACCGAAAATCCAAATAGCCAAAATAGGCTCTGTTCAAGAAATGACAATGCCAATGTGTCCGGTGTAACACCCCATAATACCATTAACAGTATTGTAGAGCGTCACTCAAATAACATAACATTTTTTTTATCATCTATCATCTAATACTTTTCATTTCTTTGAAAATTGATCTAAAACATCCAATAGCATTTCATGTACTACAGAAGCATATAATAATTCCAAATAACATCAAACACAATTACATAGCCACTAAAATAATCCCAAAATAATACATTACTGAAGTGTCTAGATACCTCAAATGTAAACATACAAATAGAATTAAATATTAACATAAAAGATAACATAACTTGTAAATTAATCTGCAATGATCTTTTCTTTTCCTTATTCCTGTAACAACAGCCAGTAAAAAGAGCACTGGTGAGCTATGAGGCTCAATAAGTTATATAAATTTAAATAGCATTAAACTTGCATGATTATAAAATTCAAAACATTAAAAATATAAATAAAAGTTAGACAACTTGAGATAACATCATAAAATTTCATTTAACATTACCCAGGAATTCCTCTTACATCTATAATGAATATCAATTTTACTCATTAAAAGATTTGGCTACTTATTCATAAACATATTCAATGGAGCTCAGGTAAACCTGACATTATCGCCATTGAATTACATAGAGGTCCCTTTTGCCTCTTAAGGGGTCCCTTTTGCCCCACCTGCTATGCAGGTATCATGTCTTTGGGGTCCCTTTAGCCCCACCTGCTATGCAGACATCATGTCTTTGGGGTCCCTTTTTCCCCACTTACAATGCAGTGTATATGGAGACCCTTTTGCCCCACATGCAATTGTAAGTTATACATCATTTTATAACCAAACTTTACTTTAAATTGATATCCAGTATGCCACATATTCATACTTCATACTTGACTTGCCATGAACAAAATTCCATAAGAATTTGTCTCTTAATATTTACATACCCTGAAGTGTTGACAACATGAAATTTATTGAGCTCCTTTCAATTTATTATCAACTAGAAAAGCATGAAAATAATCATCATAAATCTTATTTTAAACATCAATGAGACATATATGCAAGTGATTGATCATACATGAGAACTTGACTGTTAACATGCATAATATAAAATCATTAACTTTCATGACTATCTTTCTAAATTGTCATTCAAAATCAACATATATATTTACAATGATAATATATACTCTTCTATTAGAAATTTACATTATTTACCTTCTTCAAAAGCTGACGACTCAATTTCTCTACCTCGTATCCTTCCTCACTTGTATGTCACCTCTTATTTCACTATTCTTTCCCTCTTATTTTTTCTTCACTGTTCTTTGTTCTCGCAGCCAAGATTCCCTTCCAGAAATTTTCTTCCCAAAATTCCTGTTCTCTGTTTATTCTTCTTTTACTGAAATTAGAATTTCTCCTTTACCTTCATTTTTCTTTTACTGAATTCAGAATTTTACTTTACATCAAAATCCTGCTCCAAGGCTTCATTTCTACTTATATTTCCTGTTGTTTCACCCGCTGGAATCTTACTCTCCATTCTCTGTACAACATATCGGATCTTCTTCACACCAAATGCCAATTTCGCTTCCTAGCACTTTGCCGAAAAACTCTGCCGAATGATCACCGTGCCGAATTCTATATGCAACAAATTCCACTGTGCCGCCAATATGCCACAGTAATTCCTGCGGCACTATGTCGACTTCTCTACAAGGAATACACCGAACTATTCTACAGTAATTCCAAGCACTGTGCCGAATACCTAAGAGCCTTGTGCCGAAATGCTTGCTACAGGATTTTCTGCTCTATTCAATTCTTCTTTAGAGTGTTATAGCTGCATTTCCTACAATGCTTCACCCAAATATTTGCTCTGCTGGCTTGCGTGAAAACAAAACAGAGAAAAGGCTGTTGCGTTGCATAACTGTTACTTCTATCCCTTATCCACACAGCCAACACACTCTTTTTATTTGTTTTCATACGTGAAAGATGATGAGATTGGAGGCCCACTACCTAACTGCCTTCCAACACACCCCTTGAAAGCATTATTTCAAGAATTAAAAAATTATCTAATTTAAATTAAATCTGTTACTTAAGATAATACTTATCCTGCATTTTAAACAATAACTTAACTGTTTATATAATTTTAACAACAATTTAACATTAACTTTAAGTATACGTTTTAGATTATAAATAAATAAATTTTAAATTTTTTTTTTCATACATGAATATTTTGGGTCTTACATCCGGAGCAATGAAAACAACTAAAAGCAAAAATTTAAGTTTGAAAAAAAGAGGAAAAGTACCTAATTGCAAATAATACCTAAAATACGGAGAATGCTTCAAATTTTGCACTTGATCATGGGCTGAAGTTTCCGTAGTATGGAGAAATTTTAAATCTACAAGACTGGAATTTTAGTCAAGCCAAAATATTTTTACATGCTTACAACAGCCTTCTTTAAAACTTCTTGCACTAGGTAACATACGGAGAATGCTACCATCTGGGATAACTGCATTTATTGTAGAAATTACAGAGGAACTATAATGCTGGATATGCTGCAGGTAGAACAGGAATTGCAAAGGGTGCAACAATTCTGGATAAGCCAGTGCTGGATAAGCAGCAGCATCCGCATCATAAAATGTCAAGGGAATGATCATAAAAAATGCATGAGAAGTTTGCTTTGCTATGGTAGATACTTTTCTGATTGATTTCTATACGATTTGATGCATGGAGTATTGAAGTATTCCAGGCCACGTAGGTAAGGCCTATATTGCATATATTGCAGTAAGATAATAGGAGGACGATCTCATTAGTAATGTAAGAGGATTCTGGATAGCTATGGAAGATTTGACTGCATAAACCCAGAGGGGTCCCATTTTTATGTTGTGATATGTATCGGTCATTAAGTCTTTACAGGCTTTGGTTACCATGCAACTTAAATTAATCTTTTTGATAATCATCTAAATGATAAAATAAGTTAAGCTCAGCATGTATTTGTAGATCTTTGTTCCTTTTTACTTGTATTCTGTAATTTATAATTAAGACTTTTGGCTTTGTGCATTGAGTACGAAGTATTTTTTTCCTTCTCTGATCATGGTGCAACTCTTAAGGGCTTTGCGATGGATTTGGCCAAAAAACTCTTATTTCCTCTCCCAATGCTAGCAATGGCATTTCAAGGATTGATAAATGGTAACAATTACATCGGGAAAACATACCTTTTAAAGTGATCAACTAGTATTTATTTCTCAACCTTATGGCTCCAAGTTTTAGGTGCATTTGGAGGTAGAGACAGAGCTGCACCTTCAGAGGTCAGTTTTTTTTCCTTGAATTTTTTATCTGTGACCTTCATAGGATAATAATTTTATTTACTATAAATCTTTAAAACTTTGTTGAGTCAGTATTAAGTTTTTAAATTCATAACAGTAACTTATCTTTCTTGATTAGAATTGGGAACAAACATTTGGTGTCAATGTGCGCGAAGTTGCTAAGCAGCAATCTTACAACCCTGTGGAGTTGGCCAATGATATTGTTGCCATTTCAAAAGTTGTACAGAGAGTAGGCTTCATTGGTCTTGGAGCTATGGGATTCGGCATGGCATCCCACCTCCTGAAGTCAAACTTCTCTGTTCATGCATATGATGTATCTTCTCATTCTCTTAAGTCACTGTCATTTTATTTGATCATTACTTTAATTATTGATTTGGTATTCTGATGTTCATGCTTTAGTTGATAAACTTAATATCAACTTTTATAAATATGCTTATTATCTTAAGTGTTTTTCTTTATATGGGAAACGTTTAATTTGCAGTGGAAATATAGTAAGAAAATTGAATAACTTTGTTCCTGCCAAAATTTTTAGTGTTTCCTGTAGCGAGTAGACATGGTGTTATCTAATTACATTGGCAATCACTATTTGGCATGTGGTAGTATGGACATTGCACTTGGTAAGTGCATTATTGCTGTTGGAAGTAACTTTTGGGTGCCTATTTACATGTTATATTCATGTTATCCCCTGCTTATTAAGATCTTAAATAGTTTCTTCCCAACTTTTTTTTTTTGGGTTGGATTAGATAAAAAAATATTATGGAGATTGCATGTGAATTTTCTTATATGCAATTATATCAGTTATGCTATATGGATTTAGGTGTTGGAAATGATGTTGAGTGTGTCAAAAATTAGTATATGAAAATGGTTATTTTGTAAAACTTAATTGAAGAAAGTGAAAATGGCTGTATTGAAAATATGGTGAGAGTAGCAAATGCTATAGATAAGATTATAAAAAATATACTTATGTGGTATTGGCATGCATAGTATAATACAAAAAATATTCATTAATAACCTGACTAGATAAAGTATTTGCGGTAGGATTAAAGATCTATGATGAACCAAAGATAATATTGCTAGTATTGTGCAATAGGTGCATAAAAGAGAGTTCACTTCTCATATGCCACTCAATTAGATTCTTAGAGACAAAACAAGGATAAGACTAGTGATGATGGCCATACAATTCTTTGGGGTTGCTTTTCTGAATTCTCATGCTTAATTCATTCTTGTTAGCTATTACATTTAAGTTTTAATTTTGTGTAAAGTTTTTGCTCCATTTCCATTCATCTTTCTTTTAGTTTATTAAATTTTCTTTATGATTTTTTGACATTAAATTTTTCTACTTGCATTGTTAGAGTATTTTATACTCAAAATTTTATGATCTTATCTTCAATATGTGCTACTCTTATTATCCCTTTAATTTAGTTATTTTCTCAGTCAATTCTTTCCGATTTGTTATACATCCAGTTTGAAATTCCCATTTTGCCACACTTAATTTGTATAATTGATACTTTGATTAATGCAATATAATCGGTCTAAGTATTGTTTAATTAACTTTATATGAAGAAGTGTCTTAAGAGCACTATGACATTCTCTTTTTTTCATAGTGCTCTTAAGATACTTCTTCATTTAAACCATTATATTTTAGTTCTATGTCACGACCCGACCCAGTGAGCTGGTGGGGGCAAGAAATATAGGGAGCTTATACCCCTCGCCCGCACGGGAGATAATAATCCACTAAACCACGAAACGACGAAGAGGAAGGGAATTTAAACTAAAAAGAAGAAATTAAAAAAAACCTTACAAACGACAACTTGCAAACTTAATATTAAAGACGACACCCTAAAGTTGCTGCACTTAGAAGAAAGATACAGGTGGAGTGACACATGTGGAGAGACGAAGAGATTAGAAGCCAAGACGAAAGGTTGGAAAGAGCCCGCAGGTTTTTTCCGGAGGGGATGAGAAAGAAGACGGACAAAGCTCGCAAGCTTTTCCAAGCAAACCCGCAGGTTATAGCTTTTCCAAAAATAACATTTCATTCACTTTTTTTAAAACATAACAAACCCCTCATATTTATAGGTATGAAAGGGGGAATACAAACAGACACAACATTTAATTCCCATAGGAATCCCAAACATCACAAGCCATAAAAAGCCCTTGCTTTTCACGGAAAAACATCCCAAGCCCAAGAACCGAAGGAGCAGCCGCGGGAGCCAAGGAGGCCTCACAGAACCAAGGCGCCAAAGCCACGGGAAAAAGCCTAGGTGTGGAAAACCAGCGGCCGGCCGGAAATCCAAGAGGCAAGGCATGGAAAACAGCAGCCCAAGGGAGGAAGCCAAGGAGCCACCGCATGGGAAAAGACATTTCTTGGAATTCCAAGAGACCTATATAATAAATAACATAAAAAGCATAAAAAGTACATTTAATATAAGATAAATATGAACTAAAATCATAGTTAATAATGAGCTAACCCTTAGTTCAATAAATGAACTAAAGACCAGCCCATAAATGAGCTAAAATTTCAGCTCAATTTTGATTGAGCTTGTAAACTCGAGGGAGGCCAAAATTGATTTATTTTGGACCTAAGTTGACCCCCCCTTTGTTTACATCAGATTCTCCCCTTCTTGAAAAACTCATCTCCCGATGAGTTAGCTTTTGATTCTCTTGAGGAGGTGCATACTGTTCATCCAGCTCTTTGAGTTTCTCACCAAATTTCTTTAAAATTTCTTCATGTTCCTTCTCGAATTGCTGTTGTAGATATCTTTTCCACTTCTCGAATTTTTGATCACATAGGAACATGTGATACTGTAACTTGTACAGACGATCTTGAAGCGGATCCGTTGAATCACCTTCTGTAGGAATCCATCTGTCCAACAGGAGTGAGACATCAGGATTATTTGAATTGATTTCCTCGTTGTATGAATCCATATTTTTGTTGTTTTTCATTTTTTTGACAGACTCAAAACAGACTCAAAATAAACCAATCTAAACTTAAACTCACAATACGACTCACAACAAAACTTACAAGACTCACAAAACTCTCGACAAGACTTACAAGACTCACAACTTGACTTGACAAACAAAATAAAAAAAAACTTGACAAACTCACAAACCTAGGACTTCCTAACTTGCTCTGATACCAAATTGGTGGGGGCAAGAAATATAGGAAAGCCTATACCCCTCGCCCGCACGGGAGATAAAAACCCACTAAACCACGAAACAACGAAGAGGAAGGTGAAAAACAAACTCTTACATTTCAAATTAAACTAAAAAGAAGAAATTAAAAAAAACCTTACAAACGACGACGACTTGCAAACTTAAAATTAAAGACGACACCTTAAAGTTGCTGCACTTGGAAGAAAGATACAGGTGGAGTGGCACTTGCAGAGAGACGAAGAGATTAGAAGCCAAGACGAAAGGTTGGAAAGAGCCCGCAGGATTTCCGGAGGGGATGAGAAAGAAGACGGACAAAGCTCGCAAGCGTTTCCAAGCAAACCCGCAGGTTATACCTTTTCCAAAAATAACATTTCATTTACTTTTTTTAAAACATAGCAAACCCCTCATATTTATAGGTATGAAAGGGGGAATACAAACAGAGACAACATTTAATTCCCATAGGAATCCCAAACATCACAAGCCATAAAAAGCCCTTGCTTTTCACGGAAAAACATCCCAAGCCTAAGAACCGAAGGAGCAGCCGCGGGAGCCAAGGAGGCCGCTCGGAACCAAGGCGCCAAAGCCACGGGAAAAAGCCCAGGCGCGGAAAACCAGCGACCGGCCGGAAATCCAAGAGGCAAGGCACGGAAAATAGCAGCCCAAGGGAGGAAGCCAAGGAGCCACCGCATTGGAAAAGACATTTCTTGGAATTCCAAAAGCCGGTTTGGAATTCCAAGAGACCTACATAATTAAAAACATAAAAAGCATAAAAAGTACATTTAATATAAGATAAATATGAACTAAAATCATAGCTAATAATAAGCTAACCCTTAGTTTAATAAATGAACTAAAGACCAGCTCATAAATGAGCTAAAATTTCAGCTCAATTTTGATTGAGCTTGTAAACTCGAGGGAGGCCAAAATTGATTTACTTTGGACCTGAGTTGATTTTCCTCCCTTTGTCTACATCATGAGCTCGCATAGGCGAGACGGGAACGGAGGTCGGATGGTAGACTAAATTTTTAATTTCTTTAAAACTAACTCAATAAATTTGAAAGAGCCACTAAACTTCAAAATATCTATAAACTGATTTAATAAACATAGATACCTTTCTTTCGGAGCCCCACATCTACGGTAGACATTTCCGCCTCTTCTACTTATTTTGATTTAAAATAATTAAACATGAAAAATGTTAAAAACTAACAATAAGCCAACGCTTAGTAAGTAAAACACGATTCTAAAATACAGTAATGAAGACGAAATGAATAATATGCTTGATGCCACATTTCATTTAAAACATAATATAAATTGATTTCTTACAAACATGTCATTAAACATATCATATATCATAAAATTATATCTTTCATTTTCATTTCCCTATTCATATCAATATTCGTAACTTTCTCATTTCGTATATATTATAACCGTCACAGGAGCCGCCGTCTAGTACCATAAAGGTACTCCTTTACCATTTTCTTTTTCATAACGTGCACGAGTACAGCGTCCTCAGCTAGTACCATAAGGGGGTGAGCTCCATCTATTTAGCATGCACATACAATCACTCAATATAACAATCATATCATCTCATTTCTGTAACATATAAACTTTATGATATAATGTCATAAAATGTAACATATATTTTGCATGATCAACCATTTGACAAGAATAACAAAATCATGATCTAAATTAATCATAAATATTTCATAAACATGTTTGAACTTTCAAATCATATAACTTGAGAGAAAAAAAAGTACTACTGTAATAAAGAATCATGTATACTTACCTGAATGCTTCCAAGCTTTAATATTTCCATTTCCAAAACCTCAAGCTTTGTTGTAGATCCTAATACTCGTCTCAATTTTCACTGTTCAAATAACATTAATAAGATCTTAAACCTTCAACTTAGAGTTCTCAATCCTAAAGCAATATTAATGGTTCCTATTCTTTTTATTATATTCTAATCTACTTCTAACATTTCTAAAGAGAGTACATTAATAATCTTAACATAAAAGAGTCCTTATGCATTCCAAAATTCCCCTTACCCAACATTAATCTTAATTCATAATCATTAATATAAAGAAATCATTAACATAAATAAATGTCTAATCTAAATTCTTTTTCATTTAGTGATATTTTTCATTACCATAAATCAATGTCATT